GTGTGTGCACTTGGGCTGTCAGGCCTCTGCCCCTTGACATCCCCTGGACCCTCCTCTACCTCATTATACATCTGGCAGCCAGAGACGTTAGGCTTAGTGGGCAGAACATCTATTTCCTGTCCCTCCTAATTTAGAGGTGGCAGATGGGGGGGTGTTCCAGAAACTTTAGAACCTTTGAAAGGGAAAGATAGGTAGTGAGGTTGAACTTGAAGAAGAGAGAGACCTGGTGAACTTGGCTTACTCCGTAGCTCCAGGATTCCCAGCATTCTCAGGCCAGAGCAGTTCTGGGCCTGATCTTGGCCTTTGTGTCCTCTCTCGATTGGTCCCACAACTGTCCAGGCCTTCAGGGCGTCTTTTAGTCTGGAGATGATTCACACCTGAAGGGGCCTCTCAGGGATGTTCCCTAATTAGTGTGGGGAGAAGCAGGAAGTGGGATGTGGCTGCTTGGTGTCACCTGGAGGATGATTATGGTTCACCTTAAATTCTTTAAATGGCTTTCTGGAGACCACCAGAAGGGAGAGAGATTCAGTCCCTGCACCCACCCTTCAAAACCCCCAGCCTTGGCAAGTGGAGACCAGGGATGACAGAGGTTATCACACAGCCCTGAGTCTCCGTTCAGCCTGGGGCTTCCCTTTCCATGAGCCTTTAGGCAGAGTGATGGAAATGAGTGACCGTTTCACCTCATTAGTGTGTCTGAGGCTGTGGAGAGCCCTGGTGAAGAGGAGGAAGCAGAGGGCTCTGGGTGGCAGGCCTGGCCCCCAGACGGGATGAGGGTTTGTGGAGCAGGCACACGAGGAAATCTGTTTTTGCGCAGCCCTCCCCCTCTCCCCCGGCCCCCCATATATGACTGCACCACTTAGAAACACTGGACAAGATGTTTTGTGTTGAGAATCAGGACAGTTTATTGTTTGATCAACATGCTGAGTCTTCCACATTTTACACAGTTTTATGTAAAGTCAATGTGGCCGTTTATGCCTGCTGAGCCAGTCAACGATGGAAATGCCACCCTCTGTGCTCCTCATGGCCAACCACTTTCAAGGGGATGGGTGCAGGTACGTGAGGGGACAAGCTGACACACCACACGATGCAAGCTGGCCTTCCGCGTCTGGAGGCTTCCCACTGGAAGGAAGTTTCCAAACCCCACTGCAAGGATAAGCCATGCCCTGCAGGGAGTGTCAGCCACGCAGGGATCTGGCGCCGGAGAGTTTACACATGAGAGCCCAAGGTTTTGGAACACCTAGATAGTTCACTTCAGACAAAAACTCAAAAGGGTGCCCTGGTCTGTGGGTGCCCATGATGATCAGAGTGGGCTTGGGGACTGGCCCTTCTTGGCAATGGAGGGGCGTGAAATGGCCATGCATTCTCTCCCAGCTCACTGAGCTACGCTGGCCAGAGTCCTAACCAGAGTAGAGGTGGTCTGAGGAGCACCCGTGCCCAGCAGCCCTTTACGTGCAAATGCACGGTCCCATCTGCACACCCAGGTTGGCGATGGCTGAAGAATGGAAACACCTTGCCTCTGACCACTTCTGGCTTGCTGCGTGACCAGAAGCAAGTGGCCCTTCTCTGCCTCAGTCTTCCTGCCTCTGAGACAGGAAGGGTTGTGAGACCGCCGCGTCATGCTGCCGTAGCTAGGGGGGATGCCTCACATGCTCGGGGGAGAGGTAGTTTGGAAATTAGTGAGCATACAGCCCTGCTTGGTGGATGCACAAAAACTTCTCTGCTCGGCTGCCCCTCACGTGGCTCGGATGGGACTCGGTCCTTGGCTACCTGTCCTCACATCCTGACACCCTCAGCTGCCTTCTGCCGTGTGAAGGAATGAGGCTGCTGTGCCTGCAGGACACCGAAGCCAGCGGCGCCGTTCTGTCACAGCTGGTCCTTGAGGGCAGGGGCTCCCAGCACCGGCTTGCCGTCGAGAGGCCAGAGACGCTGCACTCGAGATAAGCCTGTACGCTTAGCTGCTGCCATTTTCGTTCTTGTTTCTGTTGCCTGAGACTCTCGAACCACCTGGCCTTGCCCCTCAGATCCGGGAGCATGCGGACAGAAGAGAGTGGTGACAGTGATGGCAGGGAGGCCTCTGACCTAGAGGGACTCGCTCATAACAGCCCGGCTTGCTGACGCGGACTCTACGCTGCACTTCTCACACTTAAGCTGCTGACGTCACACCCTCACTCCGGCACGTGTGTGCATTTATAAACCTGCTATCTGCTCCTGCATCTTACGCTGTTTTTCAGATACCTGTGGAATAGGGGCTTTACTGACAGCTTTTGAGACACTCCCCAACCCCCAAAAAAGAAAAAGGGCCTGAAGATGACTCTGGCCATCTCCTTAGGGAGGCGACTGAAGGATGGCTTTGCCTCAGTCTAGCCCATCTGGATTCAGCTGGGATGTCACACTCGCTGGGGATGTGGAGGCAATTTCATCCCCTCTTCTTCAAGGGAACCTGATCATTTTATTACTGAACCTTAACTCCCAAGTCAAGATACTACCTACAAGCAAGAGGAACAGTGATGGCACCTGCTCAGAATGAGAGCCAAGGAACCAACCCACTTCTGTGCAAGAGATCTGGCTACCTCAACAGGACAGGAAGTGAGGGGTGGGAATCAGGCCCGAGAGAAGGAGGGTCATGGAATGGCGTTGGCACCACTAAGACGGGAGGGCAAGAGGAGACAACTGCCCTCGCCTCAAGCCCGCAGGGCTGGGGAGAGCCTGGACTCGAGAGAGGACCTTGTGTACATGCTAGGAAGGCAGGGCTCATCGAGGCCACATCAAGCCATGTGACATCTTCCACATCTCTTACTGCTCCTAGGCTGTGATTGGAAAATGTTCGTGGTGCCTTAACTATGTGTGCACATGAGAAGGGAATGGAGTTTCTCCTTTGTTTTTACAGGAATGTTTAAGAAAAGCTACTCTTTAGTACCAAGAAAATGAAAATCCACCATACATTCATTCACTGGGACCCAATGCAGATCCCAGCAAATGGGGCTGTCCCAGAGGCCAAAAGCAACGGGCCTCACTGCCAACCAGGCCGGACGCTGTAACGTGGACTCCTATAAATTCTCACGAGGTAAGTAAGCACTCTTCCAACAAGCACCACTTGGCAGGGGCGGGGGGGGGGTGCCATGGTGGGAGGGACTGGCCCACATGGGCATGCACACCGATGCATATAAGTATAGAGAGAAATGGTGCACATATTCCCATGGCTATTTTTGCCTGTAGTTGAACACATCTATGCATTAGTTTATTGATGGCAAGACAATCACAAGTTTTTTGACAATATTAAGTATTTCTTATTTCAACACGTTGCAGTACTTTTGAATTTCCAAAACTGTTATCACAATGCAAGTTCCAACTTGAGAGCAGGAAAAACAAGAATATACATTAAGCACGTGTATCTCTGTGAGAATGTGTGTGGAAGGTGTATACACAAGTCTATCTCTATATATAATTATGTACACACATATAAAAACTAAACACATGACACTGGAATTACGTTCGTACATCAGTCTTTGCCTTCTGGAAGAGGAGCTCAGTGAGAATCCTGCTTCCTCTCTTCTTCACCTGAAGATAAATTCCTCTCTAAACAACAGCTCTGACACACAGTCTCCTTAAGCTGAGAGAGTGTGACAGGCCCACTGGACAAATACCAGTGAGTCCTGTCTACTTATTGGCTGCCATTTTGGATTAGTTTCTGAGAAGTTCCAAAATTCACTGTAATAACTTGTTGGAGTCCTGCTTTGTGGAGGAATCCCACCCCACTCCCAGATGGTCATTTAGCTCACCTAGGACACGCCTGACAGCAGTCTGGAGGCAGAGACAATGCCAGCTTGGAGGGCAAGGTTTACTGTTTTTGGACAGTTGCTGCCTACTGCCTGGCTCTATGCAGGCTCGGTTCAGTAAGTCTGGGTCTATTTGGAATGCGGCCCCATGGGTTACATCACTTAGAATTCCCTTCAGAGACTTTACAGGCCATCAGGACTAAGCCCTTCTCAGAAAGGAGTCGAAATGGCAAGGATGGCTCTCTCTGGGCAGCCTTCTGGAGACCCCACGTCAGCAGCACCCTCAGGCAACCAGAGCACTGCTACAATATCCTCAGAGGTACATGCACAATGATTACAATTGCATGATGCCGGTGGGGCAAGTCAGCTTTTCCAGAACAGCACTCAATAGTATTAGCAACCGAGGATCTGAACATGAGTCTTCAAGGTGGCGGTACTGCAGTCGACCCCCCCCTTCCCCAGTCACAAACACTGTGTGATACAGGCTCTAGCTTCCCTGTCGTGTAAGGACGAGGGCTTCAGGGCAGCACACACTGAGTTTCTTTTTGCCCTTCCCTTAGATTCAACCCAGACATGGGTGCGGACCGCTGGGAAGGTTGGTGAGAACGTCTTCAGAAACACACATGGTGCCCCAAGGCTATGAACCACAATCTACTTGTACAAGCCCACAGTTGCCAACAGCACCCCGTCCTTCCTTCCGATGACCTCTTGCTCTGCCAGTCACTGAGGGGGCCACAGAGGACACAGGCTGCCTGTGGCAAGTGCCCTCCACCCCTTCAAGGCTTGTCAGGGAGGGGAAGGGAGAGGCAGGAGTAATTCCAGTAAGGCCTCCCGCTGGGCTCCCTGCCATCCACAAGGCCTTAATTCAGCTCAGGGCCATGGGTGATGTCCCACTCTGGCCACGGAAGGAGGACAGACTTGAAAGTTGCCTCTTTAGAGGCTGCTTTGTTCAGTGTTTGATTTACCCAGGTAGGGCCTGTTTGGTGGGTGGGGCCTGGGATTGGAGCCTAATTAAGTTGCCCCATTAATTGTAATTTATCAGGTTGGGGTGGAAGGAGGGCAGAGGTGATGAACCATTCAAAGAGGGCAGGAAGGAGGAAGTGTGTGGAAAAGGTTCTCTGTAAGTTTACAAATATACAAAAACAAAAAGCACATCTTTCAAATAAAAATGACTACATTTTTATCTGGCAAAAAGTTGTATACACATGATTTAAATTTTTTTTTAATTTCAACAGTTTTTGGCAATCTTAATAAAGTACAATATATTACAACCAAACCAAAAAATAGTTGTTTAAGTAACAGCTGTTAAGAGTGACGTGATCCCTGATGCCCAGCCTCCCTCCCCACCCCCCCCACTCCCAGAGACAGAGAGAAAAGAAAAATCCTCCCATCCTGATAAGCTCCTTTCCCACCCCCCCTTAGGAAGCTAACCAATAGGAAGCAACACAACAAGCGAGTAGTGTCAAAGGAAGCCGGCCGGGCAGGCTGCATATTAGCAGGAGCAGCCTCCCTCGCTGGCTGGGGGCTCCTGGGGCTTGTCCAGCTTGATGTCGATCACTGCAGGGGGCCGGGCTAAGGAAGATGACTGCCAAGAAGCTGCCACCCTGGCTCCTGTCCCTGGGCACCCCTCAGCTGCCCTGTGCAGGTGCTCCGTCCTTGCACCAATGCCTAGGGACTCCGGTCTTTGCTGGGCCTGGGGAGGAAGGACGCAGGGTCACCAGCTCCCACCGCTCTTTTTCCCACAACCCCTCCCCCTCCCCCACCCAAAGCAAAGCCGGCCTTGGGCTGTGGGATGACCGCGGAAACACGGGCACAACAGGCCCTTCCTCAGAAGCTTTCCCAGTAACCAGGGCCCCAGCCTTGTCAGCAGTCAGTCCTGTCCTCAAGTGCACTGGAAGTGGACGGCCTGCTGGCCACCCATGGACTCCCATGTCTGAGCCCAGGCCTAGGGGGGGCCCTGCCCTAGCCAGTCGCAGCCACGGTGACCCCTCGAGCTCTAGTCAGGGTGTGTCACTTAGACTCCGAGGATGCTGCTGAGGGGAAGCCACAGCTCTGGGAAAGGCCTCCAGCCCCTCCCACGGGCGCGCTGGGGACTGTGGGTGGAGGAGTACCCGTCAGAACCACCCGAGGAACGGGTTCAGAATGCCCAGCCAGGCTGCTGCGCCCCCTGGGCCCGCTGTGGGGCGGCACTGGGTGGCAGACGGGGTGGATGCACAGGGGGCGCTGCTGTGGGGCCTGCTGTGGCCGTCCTACGTGTTTCCGTGGCCCCTGTTTAAGGACTATGCGAGAGACTCTTTTTGGCTTTACGTACTATAAAGAGCCAGGCTTCTAAAGACCCCATTTTCCCTCCTTGCCACTCTGGCCATGGCATATATTTTGAGTATGACTTTCCGACTTCCCCTATTTTTATTTTCCCTACACCTACACAAATAACATTTTTCTCTTGTGTATATATACATGAACACATTTTTTTTGGTAACATGGCAGAGTATAAACAAACAACTGCCTTCCTTCCCACTGGGCCAGACTACCTCTCTGAACCTCTCAGCTTGGGTGCGGTCTGAGGTTTAGGGCAGGCTGTGCGAGTGGCCGCAGACCCTGTCCCACAGAGCAGTGGGCGCTCTGGGGCTGTGCAGGGCCGGGCCCAGGGAGCGGGCAGGACACGGGAGGAGGTATCTGTGGGGGAAACGGTCTTGTGGAGACTAGGCTGAACCGTGTTCTGGGTGTACAGAAACCTTCCATGCAGTGGAGGGTCTACTGGTACCCATGAAATACAAAGTGATGCTCACTGCGAACATGGGCAGTTAACTATTTCTCACTCCCCGCCCCACATGGTCATTCACATCCATCTGGTACCCCTCAATGATTTGGAAATAGAAACTTAGACTGTTCGAGCTGGACGAGGTCTTAGAGCCCTTGGAGTTCAGCCTTGTCCCAGTCCAGAGGAGGGCCCACACCATACTCCTCAGCAGGGAAGGATGGGCTGGAGACCAGGCGTGGGCTCGCCCGCTGTTCAAAAGTACTAAGTGAATACGTCAATGGACAAATGCCTTCTCCAGCACATCTTTCACTCACTTATCAAAGGAAAAGGATACTCCCTTCTTTGCTTTTCTCCTGGACATTCTCCATTCCAGGCAGAGCTGACGCCACACGTCGGAAGAGCTGGAGAGAGGGGGAGACGCAGCATGAGCCCCTGGCCCCATCCTCCCGGCCCCCCCCCCCACTCTGTCTCCACCCTCTTGCCTCTTCTCGTCCTGACCGGGGGCCTTGTTCTCTTGTCTGTCCTGCTAACTGTGCCCTGGAGGGCAGGGGCTGCACCTAACTTCTCTCTCCCTTGCCCCTAGGGCCTGTCACAGGTCTGGGCCCTGACAGGCCTCTCACCTAGGCAGGCTGACCACGGGTCACCAGGAGCTGAGCACAGGTCATGCCGACTGTAAGGGACCTACCCCGGTGCACAAAATGCTCTAGGCCCCGGGAGGCAAGCCCTTAGGCGGGCTTCTGTTCCACTGCCTGTGTGGGGACCAGGTCTGGGGAAGCAACTTTTGACCTGCCCTTGAAACAAATGACCCTCTCCTCATGGGGGTCCTGCGGGTCCACAGGCACCGAGGCAGCAGGGTGCTGGGAGCCAGGGCGGCGCAGTCACATTGGAAGGAGAGATTTCCAAGAGAATAAGCACACAGGACTGTGAATGTGATGCTGTGGGTTTGTTGGGTGTGGGTGTTAGTGTGATGTGTACGTTGTGTGTAGAGGTGTATGTGTGGAAGATGTGGATGTGCGGTGTGTGTGTGTGTGTGTGTGAATTTGTGTGAGTGGGGGGATTGTGTGTAGAGTGTGTGCTCATGTGCGGTTTCTGTGTAAGTCTGTGTAAGCGCACGGGGAGACCTGTGTGGTGTGTGCATGCATGCGTGCACACTGGGGCAGGGGTAGGCGGGGATGTCAGGCAGGGCAGACATGGAACCTAGGAGGTGACAAGTACAAAACACAAGTATAAGGCACCAGAAGATTCTGAACACCCCCTCTCTCCCCATATACTCCAACTTTGGGGACTCCTTGAGCTAAGGAGGGCGTGTCTTGTTCATGCTCTCACCCTAGAGCCCAGGAGCACCCAGGCTGAGTGACAGGGCCAAAGGTGGTGAGGGCCTGAGTGGGGAAGTCACTGGTGGGCCTGGTAGGGTATGGGATGTGGGAAGGATACAGATGGGGTTCCGAAGTGGGGCAGAAAGAAGTGAGCCAGGGTGGAGGGGGCCAGGTCACTCCTGAGCTTTCCTTCATGGCCTTGCCCCAGGCAGCCCTGCTCTGCCTGCCTGTCTGTAAAAACGGTCACAGCCTCTGCCAGTGGCCAAACTGCCAGTTAGAAGGAAACTCCCGGGGTCACATGTGGGGCTCTGAGAGCAGATACGATCAGGCTTAAGAGTCCAGGAGTGTGCACGGCATGAAGACTCCTCCTCTGAGCCACAGAGTTTGAACTGACCACATTTAATTCCTGCTTAGACCAACACCTGGGTTCCAAAGCATTCTGAAAAGGGAGGCATCGGTGTCTCCCTGCCCCTGACCACTAGGGCAGAAGCTACCTGCCTTATGGACTGCTGCCCACTGCTTCCGGGAGGCGGGACTTGCCATCAGGGCCACACAAAGCAGCAACCCAGTGCCTCCTATGTGCCTCCAGGGACAGGTAGCTCCTGCTCTCAGAGACACCGGAGCAGCACTGGGAAGGGCATGGGTGTGAGCAGAGCCATGCTGAGGGCGCTCTAATTGGGGAGGAAGACAATGAGGCCTGGGGGCTATGGGGCCCCTCATTCTGTCTCTCCGCTCCTCTGCCACCTTCCCCAATGCCACGGGCACTGCCCCTGTCGGGTGAACCTTCACTGTATCCAGGCCAAGAGCTGATGGGCAGCTTGTGTAGCGCTCCCAGGCTCTGCTCGGGGCGGCTGAGCAGAAGGGGCCCCCCCGACCCCCACCAAGCCATGCTCCACACTCGGAGTCCCCTCCCCATGCCACAGCACCCCTCCTGCCGCACCTTTGCTCAGGCGTTACCCTTTGTCTGGAACACCCTCCCTCTTCACCTCTTCAAGCCCTCTCTTCCTTGACGGCAGGGGCTCCTAACCTTTTGCGAACCAGAGACCTCTCTGGCACGTCTGCTGAGCCTATGGGCTCCTCATAAGTGTGTGAAGTCAGTGACGCAGGAGTGCGGAGGAAACCATTCAGAATTGAAATACGCTTGAAAATCTTTGAAGACACCAGTTGGTTACGCAGCAGCATCTGTGTTTCCAGCCGCAGGTCAAGTCACACAGCTCCCCCCCACCGCCCACCCAGCGAACTGGTGTGGTGACGCACGTAAAGGCCAAGAGACCTGTAACACCGCGAGGGGACAAGAAAATGGCGGGGATCTGTACTGTGATCAAGCCACGGGTGCCACCACCAGCACAGAGTCCTGCTGCCTGCATTCACGGCTGAAGGAGGGGCTGAAGGGCCGTCAGAGGTGCGTGAAGATGGAGGGGTGGCTCTTTCCGACCCAAGTCTGCTCACCTGTGGACTCCCATCCTTGGGGGTCCGTGGACCTAGGGAAGCCCCTGGCGGCGAGGCTCGGCCGTAACCTCCTCAACGGCTTCTCTGACCATCCTGATTCCCCGGGCCTCCTGCCCCCTCTCCCCCGCCACACTGCAAGCTCCAACAACACCAGGCGGGCTCCTCCCTCCAAGCTCGCCTGGCCCTCCGCAGCCCTGAGCACTTGCCAAGCGCAAGGCATGAACCCCCAAATGCTAGTCGGACTGAATTTCCCGCACCCCTATCCCAAGTGAGGTAAGATGCTAGGGAGATACTGCTGCTCTCAGCAGGAAGTTAGTGGCTGGTTACCCAGCATGTTACGGGGCCATGCGACTGGTTGCTGTGTGGTGGCTAAGGATGACATGCTCCGGACACGCCCGGAGAGTGAGTGCTCTTACCCTCCCTCGTGCTTTCTCAGCTCTAGGATTAGCTCGTTTCCCATTAGGTGGGGTTCATGGTGCTCTGGTTGCTTGCCCCAACCTGGTCACTAGCCCCTCAGGGCAAGTTGGAGCCGGGCCCGTGACTGACCGGGCAGGAAGCCACACGTGGCCCCTTGGCCAGGCTGGCGAGGATCAGCGCCAGGTGCGTCCTACCTGCTTCACGTTGTAGCCGGTCTTTGCGCTGGTCTCGATGAACATGACGCTCAGTTCTTTGGCGCGCTGCTCTCCCTCCTCGATGGTTATCTGCCTGTGAGTGAGGGGAGACGGGAAAATGAGCCGCCCCGTAGAGGCGGGGGGAGCAGCCTGAGATTAGGAGGGCCTAGGCCCCGAGTCAACCCTGAGGACAGGGCTCGGATCCAGGGCCCCCGTCCAGGATGAAGGGCACGGGGCCACAGCAGGACACCAGCTTCCCCCCCATTTCTCTTCCATGGTGCCTCCCAGCTCAGGAGCAGGCCCTGTGGCAGGCGGTGGACCTTCCCAACAATCAACAGAACTGTCCCATGCACCTGTGTCTAGAAAGTACTTTGAACCACACAGCGCCTCTCAGGTGGTGTCATCAGTCCCCTTCTCCACAGGAGGACAGTGAGGTTAAAAGTGACTGCCTCCAGGTTGTACTGAGAGGTACTTAGCAAAAGAACTGGGCTTTGAGTCCCATTTCCCTTACTTCAAGGACAGGACTCTAATGAAGCAGACTCTAAGTCAGATAATTCTGTAGATGGTCAGAGTACACTCCAGGAGGCCAGCAGTCCAGACCTGTTGCTTTATCTGACCAAGCCCGGTCCCATGAGATAAGTGGATGAATGGATGCAGGCGGCACCTGAGTCAGCCCTGTCTGTGCACTGGAGGCACAGCAAAGAGGAAATTCTGCACGTTCACACCTGGGGATCAGAACCTTATCCCGGCACAGGCATTTCGTGGGGGCAGAGACACAAAGCAGAAGCAGAAGCCAATGAGGGCCCGAGGGACTGCTGTCTGCAGTTGCGCTGTGGCCACGGCCGGGCCCCAGACCGCACACTGCTGTGTGGGGCCGGGCGCACAGGGCTCCATGCAGACCTCTCGCAGAGGCGCGCCCTTGCAGACAGTGGAAGGTGGGGCTTCAGAGCTGAGCCGCTGTGGGCAAGGGTCTGCCAGGTGCTCTCAAAGCCTCCAGTGTCCCCAGGGGGCCTTCCTCAGATATATGGGGAGAGGTCGGAAGCACAGACTCACCATCTACGCATCCCAGCTGCAGGGGAGTGGAGGGTGGGCCGGGCCTGCCAGCATGCTGCACCTTGCACCCTCACACCTACCTCTTGTCGGCCAGGTCCGTCTTGTTGCCCACCAGCATGATGATAACATCGCTGCCCCTCTCTGTCCTGACATCGTCGATCCACTTAGAGGTCTGCTGGAAGGAGTTGAGATCTGGAGGTGAAAGGCGAGGAGACAACAGAGTGAGAGTCAGCCTGAGCAGGTAAAGGGCAAAGGTGGGAGGGAGCATGAGACCATGAGCAGGAGGGAGGGGCACTGTGCATCCTTACACCCGACCAGTGAGTCCGGGCCTTCTAGCGGGGGGTGTGGAGCGGGGGAGCATGTGTGTCTGTGGAGCTCCTGCCCCACGGCCCTGGAGAGACCCTCATGTTGCTGAACCACCCCCTGGGTTGGGGGGGGGTCACCCTGTTTGAAGGTCACTGTCATGATTTGCTACATAGACTAGTGGTTTTAGGGGCCCACCTGAGAATCAGACCTGACTTAGGGGGCTCAGAGCAGAGTGTGAGAAATGGGTGCACTGGAGTTGGCTGAGCTTGGAAACGTGTGTGCACGTGTGTATGCTGGTGGGGGACCAGAGCAGCTCCTGGGGTAGGAGGGCCCTACACAGTGGCCTCACACTGAGGGGGGGTGGCGCTCGGTCAAGACGAGAGTTTCCAAGGAGAACACTCAGGATCTGCAAGTAAGAGGAGGGGCAAGGTGGCCCCAAGAGAGACAACAGCACAAGAAGTAAGGCCATTTCAGGGCAGCCCTCTCCTCAGTCAGAAGATGTGACAGACCTTGGGGAGTGGTAGCAGGGCAATGCCCAGCACTCAGCAGCCCACACGCCCGAGGGGAGGAGAGGGAGCCTATCCCAGGAAGCCTCAGTTTCCCCCAGCCTGCTCTCCCTCCTGCTCACGTCAGGCTGCATGAACCCAGGCTGAAGGGCCCAGCTCCCACCTGTACTCAAGGTGTGTGGGGGGCCCACGGTCAGAGGGAGGCGTGGAAAGGGGAGATGGGCAGAGCCAGGGGCAGTGGGCTCGAAGCCTCCCCATGTGATTTCGGTGCTGTGGACAGCACCCAGGGTGTCCTCCCACCACAGCTGTGACCACAGCACAAGGGCTTACCAGGTGTGTTCTGTGACACCTGCCTGGGCAGCTGAGGCTCTGCACCAGCCCCTCCCCCTACCCCCATGATGAGTCTTCCTCAGGGCTGTGCAGTTCTCTCAAGAACTTGCCCTGGCCAGAAGAGCCACACGGTGTGGCTCTCCAGACCTGCTTGGCCTCCCCTCCCAGGAGAGCCTAGGAGGAGCCGGGATGCTGGCTGACAAAACAATGGCTGCTGGGTCACAGCTGGCCCAGACACCAGTGTCTTCTCCCTTCCTGACACATAAACACACACAAGTCACTCCATAGGGGTCTTTCTGGCCGTCAGGGCCAAGGAGGGCATGGAGGGGTGGCAGCAGGGCCAGCCTCACCTCTGCTCACCTCTACACACAGCCCCCTGCTCTGGGCAGGGCCAGCTCAATCCCATACACCTAGGCCTGTCACAGGAGGGTGGGGGAAGGTGGAAAACATGCTGGTGTTTGAAGGCAGCTCACCCCCCCACCACCAAGGACCTGTCTTCTTGCAGTCAAAAGACAAGCATCCACAGCATGCACGTGTGCACACACGTGCCGTGTGCACCTATGTAAGTGCACACACACACACACACACACACACAGGCCCTGGAGCCTGTGAGCCACCCTCCCTCTGGCAGCCAGGACCCACACTCACTTGTGATGTCGTACACCACCACAGCCACGGTGGAGTCCCGGATGTAGCTGGGAATCAGGCTGCGGAACCTCTCTTGGCCGGCTGTGTCCCAGAGCTGCAGCCGCACCTGTCACAAGGAGGGCAGGGGCGTCAGTGTAATCCTCCTGGTGGAGTGGGGGCTGGAGGAGGGCCCTGGCCCTGTGACGCGGCCTCTGCCAGCTCTGCGGTAGGCAGGGGCTCTCTCAGTGGTGCCCAGCTAAAGGCTCCAGCTGGTAAGTCCAAAGGAGCCCTCCCTGTGCTTCTCGTTCTAAAGTCAGGCACTCACCGTACGATCCTCCAAGTACATGGTTTTTGACAAGAAGTCAATCCCAATGGTGGCCTATTAGAGAAAAACATGGAAAGGTTAAAACTGAAAAGTCTCAGGCAAAGGGGCAAAAGCTCAGCAATCCAGACAGTGATAGCCACTAAGAGAGGGACACCCACGCCAAGCCTAAGGCAAGTCCTGCTCTGCTGTCCCTGCCTGACCCCCACGCTCAACAGTGAACCCGGTCATGTCCCTCAGAGGAAGTGGGCTGGAGCCAAGTAAGGGTGAGGACAGGTTTTCAGGGAGGTACAAAAGGGCTTTGTGAAGGGGACAGGAGAACCAGGTGAGGAGCTTCCCCAGGGTCAAGGCCACTGGCAAGTGTATCTCCTGCCCTCCTCAGGTGGAGGCCTCGTCTCCCTGCCCAAGCCTGCTTGACCTCACTCGCTCCCACCCTCACAGCCTCCCTGCGAGGCTGCTGGAATTCGGATACCCAGGCTCGAGTTCCTCACTGCCCCCGGCAGGCAGGGGCAGGGTGGAGAGCAGGGCAGCTTGCTGCTGTGTGGGCAGCAGAGACCAGCTGGGCTTCCTCAGGGCCATCACAAACCACCCAGAGCAGCATCTTCCTGGGAAATCACAGTGACCCTTTCCTACCCAAAGCAACATATTAGGAGCCAACTGTCCCCAGCACACCTAGGCCATACCTGTGCACTCTTTCCTGGCACTGGGGAAGGCAGCTGGGCACGGTGCAGTCAGCCTTGTGGCCAGATGGCCAGGACCCACCACTCACTGTGTGACCTTGGGCAGGCCACCTAACCTCTCTGGGCTCACCTGCCCACAGCATGATAGGAGCCACAGCCCTCCTATGATAGGAGCTAAGATGCTGTTGGTGTGAAATGGAGATGTCACTGCTATGCAGTTAATAATAATGAAGACTCAGACATAGCCTGAACATCTAGGACACTGATTAAGTACAGCGTGGCACACCCATGTGATCAGAATCCTTGGCAGCCATTTAAAATCATGACTCCACCCCCAAACTGCTAGAACTCATACAGGAATTCAGTAAAGTGGCAGGATATAAAATCAATGCACAGAAATCAGTGGCATTCCTATACACCAACAACAGTACAGAAGAAAGAGAAATTAAGGAGTCGATCCCATTTACAATTGTACCCAAAACCATAAGATACCTAGGAATAAATCTAACCAAAGAGGCAAAAAATCTGTACTCAGAAAACTATAAAATACTCATGAAAGAAATTGAGGAAGACACAAAGAAATGGAAAAATGTTCCATGCTCATGGATTGGAAGAACAAATATTGTGAAGATGTCAATGCTACCTAGAGCAATCTACACATTCAATGCAATCCCCATCAAAATACCATCCACTTTTTTCCAAGAAATGGAGCAAATCATCCTAAAATTTGTATGGAACCAGAAGAGACCCCCGAATAGCCAAAGGAATGTTGAAAAGGAAAAGCAAAGCTGGCAGCATCACAATTCTGGACTTCCAGCTCTATTACAAAGCTGTCATCATCAAGACAGTATGGTACTGGCACAAAAACAGACACACAGATCAGTGGAACAGAACACAGAGCCCAGAAATGGACCCTCAACTCTATGGTCAACTCATCTTCGACAAAGCAGGAAAGAATGTCCAGTGGAAAAAAGACAGTCTCTTCAACAAATGATGTTGGGAAAATTGGACAGCCACATGCTGAAGAATGAAACTGGACCATTTCCTTACAACACACACAGAAATACACTCAAAATGGTTGAAAGACCTAAATGTGAGACAGGAGTCCATCAACATCCTAAAGGAGAACACAGGCAGCAACCTCTTCGACCTCAGCCACAGCAACTTCTTCCTAGAAATATCACCAAAGGGCAAAAATGAACTACTGGGACTTCATCGAGATAAGAAGCTTTTGCACAGCAGAAGAAACAGTCAACAAAACCAAAAGACAACCGATAGAATGGGAGAAGATATCTGCAAACGACATATCGGATAAAGGGCTAGTATCCAAAATCTATACAAACTTCTTAAACTCCACACCCAAAGAACAAATGATCCAATCAAGAAATGGGCAGAAGACTTGAACAGACATTTCTGCAAAGACATCCAAATGGCCAACAGACACATGAAAAAGTGCTCAACATCGCTCGGCATCAGGGAAATCCAAATCAAAACCTCAATGAGATACCACCTCACACCAGTCAGAATGGCTAAAATTAACAAGTCAGGAAACGACAGATGTTGGCGGGGATGCGGAGAAAGGGGAACCCTCCTCCACTGTTGGTGGGAATGCAAGCTGGTGCAACCACTCTGGAAAACAGTATGGAGGTTCCTCAAACAGTTGAAAATAGAGCTACCATATGACCCAGCAATTGCACTACTGGGTATTTACCCCAAAGATACAAATGTAGGGATCTGAAGGGGTACGTGCACCCCAATGTTTATAGCAGCAATGTCCACAATAGCCAAACCGTGGACAGAGCCAAGATGTCCATCGACAGATGAATGGATAAAGAAGATGTGGTATATATACACAATGGAATATTATGCAGCCATTACAAGGAATGAAATCTTGCCATTTGCAATGATGTGGATGGAACTAGAGGGTATTATACTGAGCAAAATAAGTCAATCAGAGAAAGACATGTATCATATGACTCACTGATATGAGGAATTCTTAATCTCAGGAAACAAACTGAGGGTTGCTGGAGTGGTGGGGGGTGGGAGGGATGGGGTGGCTGGGTGATAGACATTGGGGAGGGTATGTGCTATGGTGAGTGCTGTGAATTGTGCAAGACTGTTGAATCATAGACCTGTGCCTCTGAAACAAATAATACAATATATGTTAATTAAAAAAGAAGAAGAAGAAGAAGAAGGAGAAGAAGATAGCAGGAAGGGAAAAATGAAGGGGGGGAAATCGGAGGGGGAGACAAACCATGAGAGACTATGGACTCTGAGAAACAAACTGAGGGTTCTAGAGGGGAGGGGGGTGGGGGGATGGGTTAGCCTGGTGATGGGTATTAAGGAGGGCACGTTCTGCGCGGAGCACTGGGTGTTATACCAAACAATGAATCATGGAACACTACATCAAAAACTAATGATGTAACGTATGGTGATTAACATAATAAAAAAATAAATTAAAAATGCTCATTAATACAAAAATGAATAAATAAATAAATCATGTTCTTGAAAAATATTTAAGGATTTGAGGAAAGGGTCATCAAGTGAAAAAAAGCAGGCTGTAAACATCATGTATAGTGTGATCCCAATGTGATGAGCTGAAGTAAGAGAAGTATTTTTCATCTTTTCTTAGATACTAAAATGAAGGGAATACACTAAGCCTTAATAACACGAATGTGAATAATGGCATTCTGGGCAAATTCTTTTTTTTTGCTTCCTTCATTATAATTTCCTCTTTTTTCTACAATAAACGTGTAATAGTTCTAAAAGCAGAAACAGAATAAACAAAAATATAAGATTAAAAATAAGCTTAACTGTATGGGAAACTGTGCTGCGACTTCTGATTACAAAAACCCACAACCCAGGGAAGCCTGAGGAAATAGAAAAACCCATGTCTGCAGGTCCCAGGCGGTCTGCAAGCATGTTCATGTATATTCGGACCCCCCAACTCATTCCACAAAGGAGTTAAAGTGGCTGTATGCCCCCCAGAAACCTGCTTTAATGCAAAGTTGTGGAGTGTCGAGGCATCTCACAATTCTAGAACATGGGTGCTAGACACACACCTTAGACATAACCCAATCCAGCCGCTCACTTTGGAGATGAAAGACTAGGGAAGCTAAAGGGCATGCCTGGTGTGACTTTACGAGTCAGGGGCAGAGCTGCAAGGGTCAGCACTGAAAGCTTCATATCACTTGGGCTCCTTCTACCCCAGCTTGGCACACCTTTCCTATGTGGTGTAGTCACTGGGGAACAAGTCTGGAATCGACAAGTGGCTTCAGTCACACAACATTCACTAATGGATGAAGCGTGACAGTCCTCATCTTTTCCTACCCTTAAGGAGAAATGTGCAGACCAGGTGGAAATCTCTCACTTCATCAGTGCTCCATGCGCTTCCCAGGGAGCGCCAAGCTCCTTCAGTAAAGTGACCCTGGAGCTGAAAACCGGGTGTGTGACCTCAGGATTGGTGGCAGGGACTGCTGGCTATCCCCGATATGGTGTCCCTTTCTACTGTAATAGGATTCTAGATGTGTACATGGCTCAATGGCTGTCCCAAATGAAGATGGGATTTCCCAACTTCCTTTGCAGGTAGGTGGCTAAATTCTGGCCAGTGGGATGTGAAGGTGATGTAGGCATCTTCTGGGATGGGTCCTTCATGGGGGGTGGGGGACATGCTCACAGCTGCCCTCTTTCCCTTTCCTGCGGCTTAGAATGAAGACAGGTGGTGGTGAGTCACACTGGCCCATCCAGATGAAGATGATATAGGAGTGATGACAGAGCCACCAGATGGAGGAAGCCTGAGTCTCTGACCCAGGCAAGCCACCTCAATACCCTAGACTGCTTATACCCAGACTGTTGTGTGAAAGTGAATGAAACTTCTATTTTGCTTAAGCTACTGTTAGTTTGGGTTTCTTTTAACACAGACGAACAATAGTCTAACCAATAGACCAAAGAACCATGGAGAAACATATCCTTCAAAGATAGGCAACATGGACGGTTATGGTGATAAGAATTCTTGACATTCTTGTAACAATGACAACCCCAATCTACCTCATGTGGGCACAAGCCACTTCTGCTTCCATGGAGGACTGAGAAGTCACCAGATGACAAGAATTGTGCTATTTAGATCAAGCCTTGGCAAAGCTCAACTCAGTGGCCTCCACAACCATAAACGCCATTACTGAGGCCCACATACTTTATCTCCATCGCTCCTCACAAAAGCCTGACCACATGAATGGTACTGAGGAAAGCGTCTGGAAGAGGCCAACCTTCTCCCTCTCCAGCTCTCTCCCACCTTTAGTCCCACTTCCATGCTTCTTCCACATCAGAGAGACATCTGGTTCCTTAACTGGACCACTCTGTCCCCACCAAGCTAGGCCA